TGGAATTGTGCTTCGCATCATGATTAACAGCAAGTCCCTTTGTTCGTCAATTGATAGTAATGGCCAGTCCATGCAATATATAGCGTTCCCTACGCTCGTACTCTGCCAACATAATATAACTAAATTTATCACTTTGCAATAATACCGAATGGTTATCAATATTATTAATATTACTAGCATTATGTACACACACGCACGTACGTACGCACGCATACACATTATGCATATGTACATCTCTATATATATAAAAATGTATGTATGTATGTATGTTTGTTCGCGAACTCCTCCTACATTAATGGACAGAATTTTTACCAAAAGTATATGAAATAGGGGTAGAATTTCCCGGGAAGAACCATAAAGTATATAGTTTTTCGTTACCGATTTTCTAGAAAGCGAGTTTTCTAATTTTTTTTAATTTTTCGGGAAATAATTGACCGAATCTTAAAGAATTATATACAAAACAGGGGTAGAATTTTCCGGATAATGCTTTTACATTAATCTACCGATTTATCGATTTAGTTAAAATCAATTTAAAAATTTTATTAATTTTTCAAAGATGGGTTTAATTGCCAAGATGTGTATTATTTTTCGGTAACAATTTATTTTTTTTAAATTAGTTTGAAAATTTAATTAATTTTTCGAGGATATAAAGGATTCTTTGTAAATGAATATAAAGTATTCTTTGCAATTGTCTGATAAGCAATGGCTTGATAAAGGAATATTTTTTTTATTAAAGATATTGAAACACAAATGAAGTCGTTTGAAGAAAAACGACTCCCGGGCGAAGCCCAGGTAACCAGCTAGTATATAAATAAATTTATATATACATACGTATATAGACTAGTGCCAGGTAAATTGTTAATTTCTCTTGAAATTATGTTAAAAATTGAGTGTTTGTGAGTATCTATTACTTGAATAAGATACATCATTCTGGTGTATATTGTAGATTCTGGTATAGATTACCTTAAGCATGACTTCATTTCCAGACCAGCAAAAAGTGTAGATTTGTACAAACATTCCAATGGTGTAGAATAATAAAGTCACAAGTCTAGACAGTTCCGCAATATGAGTTGACAAGTAATACACACTTGTACATAATACCAGTATGCTTCCAGAGAATTGAACGAAGAACACTTGGTTGAATATAGCGTTTATTGCTTTGGCATATCTATAATTGTTTCATGTTAGTTCTGTATATATTGCATATGAGTAAAGCTGTTACACTTTTAATATATAATTTTATAACATGATTTGTACAAATCTAAATTTCTCCTTGTTTTCGACCCCGTATTAATTGTTTATTGATATCAAATGATATCAATTATACTATATCTTTTTACTATAATATTTCCATTATAAATCACAGTAATTACTGTCATAAATAATATTGAATTTTTTTTACCGAAAACAACGCATTTAAATACGCACGCAGACATAAAGAGACATTTGAAATACAAGATTTGTAAAGAAATACCCGACTCTTTTTCTCATAACTTTTGTTGGTATATTCATAACTTATTCAGCCTTTAAAATATGTTCTGCCTCGATTGATACATCATTCCCAACGTCGTTTCCACTTCTAGATATCCACGTTGAAAGGCGGAAGATCGCAGACAGACTTAGGCGCGATCACGAAAGACGCGTATTAGAACTAATTCCAGAATTAGACATTTGTGGAGTATCAACCGAGAAGGAACATATTTTGAAGGCGACAGAGCTGAATAAGTTATAGATACGATGAGAAAATTATTAAAAAAATTTGAAAATTTTTTGAACAGACATCATAATATATGCATGAAATGCACGGAGTTTTACATGACTTAAGCCGGTTCTACAATACGTCGCAAACGATGGCTACTACCAGTTGAAAAGTGTTATTTCTGCATGATTGCCGATTGCCAGTTATTGTCGCCAAAAAAGTTAAAAGTTCGCCAACTCTCTTTTGACAAGTGCAACATGGAAATAACACTTTTCAACTAGCAGTTGCCATCGTTTGCGACGTATTGTAGAATGGTCCTTACTTGTAAATGCTGAGATGATGATGTATGCACTCCGATATCTTCGTTTTGTCTTTATTTGACGAAGAGAGTGCATGTTCCAGATATCTAACTGTTTTATTAATTATTAATTTGTGAAGACGATATTCGAAAATTTCAAGCTGGGCACACGTTTGCAAAAACAATCCGAAGATTAAGGTATCCGTGCCGACAAGGATCATTGTGGCAAAAAGTAAAGATACAATTTGATGAATGGATATAATCCAGAAAACTAAAGGTATATTATAATCCCATGGCAGCCATATTCGATTAGGCATATGACCTTGCATAACATTTAATATTGATCCTATTGTAGTGCCTGTAACGGCGCTAGTCGCCAAAAGTGTGTATTTTATAGAATATGACCTGTAAATACAGAAAGAAAGTTATATTTAATAACTTTTGTACATTTAAGACATTTAAAATTTACTCATATATTTTGCAAATGTAACGAAAATTTGCGTTAATTTATGACAGGATTTAATTATTCCATGGTTGCGTATTTGTGCGTGTAATACTGCTATGTGTAACACTGCTTCAAAATAATATTTATTTAATTATTTTTAATTCAACAAAATATAAATAGTTATTAAGTCATTAAATCTATATGACTATAATTATTTTAATAGTATATAAAATGAATAAAGTCCAACAATTATAATAAAGGTCCTGTAGGGAGCGCTAAAAACATTCACGTTCAATTGGGTCCAGGACAAAAAAAATAATATGTAAAATACAGTAGACGAATTATATTCTTGTGATCGTGCAAGGTACGTTAAGGGGGGAAACCACTGTGACGGTCGGAAAAAATGCTATTTTCGTTACACGCTGAAGGCGCAAAAATTAATATTTTTTAACAAATTTTTTTAACAATATATTTAATATATGTACTTTAAAGAAATAAAAAACTAATTCCATTAAATTTATTATTTTTTGCAACAAAAAATTTACGAAAATAACATTTTCTGGCCGTCACAGTGATTTCCATTTCTAATTAATTATACGTACCTGATAAAATTATCAAATTTTGTTTGTATCGTCGATTCATCCTCATCGCAAGGTTTACACGGTGCTTTCATCAATAGTCGCACCAAATTGATAATAGCATTCCGACGCATCAAAACGACAGTGGCTTTACAACATACGGCAACAAGAGTCAGGAACATTAGAGCATTAGTAGCAAAATCATCGATATTGTCGACAATAAGTATTATATCCATAAATTGAGTTAACACCACAAAGTATTCCGAAGATATTATGACAAAAGTGAATATGTTATACAACAGTTTTGCGACATTTGATGACCACTCACTTGGTCGCCATATACCACAAAGGTTATATATCGAAAAACTTAGAGAAAGTATTTGCATATTTAGACCTTATTTTTATAACCAACTTATCAATGTGTTGCACAAAAGTAGAGCCTCTTTCTACAGGTAAAATATAAAAAGAAAAGGTTTAAAGCATTGCGAAAAGTATCTTTTATCATTTATGCTATAGATTAAATATCCAACGAAACATACATATAAGACAATTTTAAGGAAAATGAAATTCAATGCAAAAAGTAGTATAATATTCCATGAAATAAATTAATAAATTAGTAAATTCCACAAATTGGTGATTAAATCGCACACTTAACATCGAATGTAAATGCATGCGATAAATTTTATTCACTCAACTCATAGACCGCATACCTCGGTTTGAGAATCGGACAATCTTAAATCGTGTGAATATAACTAGAAAGTAATATTTCGAAGTATTTATCGCGCAACTCTTTCAAAATATCGCATCTTATAACTTGCTACTAATACAACCACAATTAACAAATATTATAGATACAACTGTTTTTCTATCGTGAACCGCTAAATTTTATTTAAACGTAACCAAGGACGTCTTGTGACGGACTATGTAGTTTTACATACTTCCACTTCTAACCCCAGTAACAATAATAATGGTCATTAAAAAATTGACGTAAAGTCGTTTAGACATTTATTGCGGAGTATTCTTTTCATCTTCCGTGAATACTATAATTCTGAAAGTTTTCTTACTTGCAATCATCGAGGGATACCGTCCTTTACAGTCACGCACATAGTTATGTTCTCATCGAATAAAATATTTATATATCTTTATATTTATCAGAACTGAGTGAAAGATAGTATTTCTCGAAGAATTCTATCTTATTGCATAAAATACCATACAATGTAGCGAAGATGTATAAAACATTTAGATATTTTCTGAATAAACTGTCTGCACGTATGTCGACTACAAGTATACACGATAATTATATACCAACCCTATTCGCAACACAATACATCACATATGGCATAGACTGAGAAATTCCACCCTCTTGACTTTATACTGAAGTGAAATTAATGTCGCTTGAAATCGCTTGAAATTGATGAATTGTACATTACATTCTACACAATGTGAAGTAGAATATGAAGTAGAATGTAAGTATTCAATGTGCGTACATTAACCTCAGTATTCCTGGAATAGTAATAAGGGCTAAGATTGAAATAAATATACGTAAACAGAAATTTTGGCTTTACTAATTAATTTATGGAAAACTACATAATTATCGTGCCCAAGTACACGTTTGTTTATTTATATTTCACTTTTGTAGCACGTTGAATGCCGTGTATGACATTTTTAAGATCTGAAAGGAAAATCAGAGAAATAGAATAAAAAGCGGTGCAGTTATTAAAAATTTCGACTTATATTTTTCGATATGCACCACAAATGTGTCACTGATATAATTTCGCATTTAAATATTTATTTTGTCATCAATTTATGACAACAGAACTACTAACGCTGCCGTAAGACTGAAGAGACAGAGTTATCAGGAAGCTGCTAGTAAACTTTATTGGAATTGTGCTTCGCATCATGATTAACAGCAAGTCCCTTTGTTCGTCAATTGATAGTAATGGCCAGTCCATGCAATATATAGCGTTCCCTACGCTCGTACTCTGCCAACATGACATACTTTAAATTTATTACTTTGCAATAATACCGAATTTTTATCAATATTTTTAATATTACTAGCATTTATATACATTATGCACATGTACATATATATGAAAATTTATATGTACATACGTACATAGACTAGTGCCAGATAAATCGTTAATTTCTTTCAAAATCATGTTAAAAATCGAGTGAAATCTATTACCTGAATAAAATACATCATTCTGGTATAGATTGTAGATTCTGATATAGATTACCTTAAGAATAACTTCGTTTCCAGACCAGCAAAGTATGTAAATTTGTACAAACATTCCAATGGTGTAGAATAATAAAGTCACAAGTCCAGACAGTTCCGCAATATGAGTTGACAAGTAATACACACTTGTACATAATACCAGTATGCTTCCAGAGAATTGAACGAAGAACACTTGGTTGAATATAGCGTTTACCATTTCGGCATATCTATAATTATTTTATGTTAGTTCTGCATATTTATTATTATTATATATGCATATTATTATACACGGAAAAAAAATGAAGTTGCTTCAATTAAACGTCGACGTCACGGGCTGCCACAAGCGTATGTAGTTAATTCAATTGGATATTATTGGATCAAATATTTAAATTATTAAAAAAATTATGTGATGTTTTTTGTTCATTCATATTAATGTAGCATCAATACATTTTATCTCAATACACTGATGCTGTTGACACATAATTTTTTTCCGTGTATATATAACAAATGTTCTGACTGACTGACTAACTGACTCATCAACGCCCAGCTCAAATCCCTAAACCTAAAAACAGGAAATTTGGAGAGTATATTTCTTCCATGACGTAAGCACTTACTAAGAAAGGATTTTTAGAAATCCGACCTTTATTAAGGAAATGAAAAAGGATAAAATGTGTTTTCAGGGCTTCCTCAATATTTCTTAGGCCCGATGAGATATCGACTTAGTTTTTTACTTAAAGTAGTTACATACTGTAGCGAAGCACGGGTATCAAGCTAGTATTCCATTTGAATAAAGCTGTTACTTTTTTTTAATATAATTTTATAACACGATATATACAAATCTAAATTTCTCGCTGTTTCCGAGTTTGTAATAATTGTGCATTAATATTAAATGATTATCTTTTGACACACACTTTAACCTTTCCGTCATAAGTCACAGTGATTATCGTTAATAAATAATATTGATTTTTTGACAGAAAATAAATAACGCATTAAATGTGCACGCACACATAAAGAGACATTTGAAATAAGAGATCTGTTGAAAAAATATCTGAATTTATTTCTTATAATTTTTGTTTGTACATTTATAACTTATTCAACCTTGTAGCCTTCGAAATATGTTCTTTCTCGATTGATACTCCCAGCGCTGTTTCCACTTCTGGATATCCACGTTGAAAGGCGGAAGATTTAATACAATCGCAGACGGACTTACGCGTAATCCAGAAAAACACGTACCAGAATCAATTTCAGAATTAGAAATTTCAAGTATCAACTGAGAAGGAACATATTTTGAAAGCGACAGGGCTGAATAAAAGTTATACGTAAGTATGCCTGAAAAAATCATTAAAAAAAGTTCGAAAATTTTTTGAACAGACCTCCGATATGCGTGAAATGCACGGATTTTTAAATAACTTACTTGTAAATGCTGAGATGATGATGTATGCAATCCGATATCCTCCTTCTGTTTTTATTCGACGAAGAGAGTGCATGTTCCAGATATCTAACTGTTTTATTAATTATTAATTTGTGAAGACGATTTTCGAAAATTTCAAGCTGAGCACACATTTGCAAAGACAATCCGAGGATTAGAGTATCCGTGCCGATACCTATCATTGTGGCAAAAAATGAAGATATAATTTGATGAATGGATATAATCCAGAACACTAGAGGTATATTATAATCCCATGGCAGCCATATTCGATAAGGTATATGACCTTGCATAACATTTAATACTGATCCTATTGTAGTGCCTGCAACGGCGCTAACCCCCAAAACTAAGTATTTTATAGAATACGACCTGTAAATACAGAAAGGAAATTATATTTAGTAACTTTGTACGTTTACAATAATTAAAATTTACTCATATGTTTTGTAAATGTAACGAAAATTTGCGTTAATTTATGACAAGATTTTAATTATTCTGTGGTTGCGTGTTTATGCGTGTGTACATGCTTTAAGATAATATCTATGAGTTTAATTTACATCTAATATTTTTTAATTTAACAATATATAATTAGTTATTAAGTCATTAAGTCTATATGATCATGATTATTCTAAAAGTATATAAAATGAATAAAGTCCAACAATTAATAAAGGTTCTGTAAGGAACGCAAAAAATATAACATTCCGCACGTTTAGTTAGGTTCAGGACAAAAAAAATATGTAAAATACAGTAAACGGACTATAATCTTGCGATAATTCGTGCAAGGTACATTAATGTCCCACCATAAAATTTTCTAATTAATTATACGTACCTAATAAACCTATCAAATTTTGTTTGTATCGCCGATTCGTCTTTGTCACAAGGTTTACACGGTGCTTTCATCAATAGTTGCATCAAATTAATAATCGCATTCCGACGCATCAAAACGACAGTCGCTTTACAACATACGGCAACAAGAGTCAGGAATATTAGAGTATTAGTCGCAAAATCGTTGATATTGTCGACAATAAGTACTATATCCATAAATTGAGTTAACACCACAAAGTATTCCGAGGATATTATAACAAAGGTGAATACATTGTACAATAGTTTTGCGACATTTGATGACCATTCACTAGGTCGCCATAAACCACAATAGTTATACACTAAAAATTGTAGTGTAAGTATTTGCATATTTGGATCTCTTTCTTTACAAACAACTTATCAATGTGCTGCACAAAAGTATAGTCTCTTGCTAAATATAAAGAAAAGGTTTAAAACATTGCGAAAAGTATCTTATATCATACATGTCAGATTAAATAGCCAACGAAACATACATATAAGATAATTGTAAGGAAAATTAAATTTAATGCAAAAGCCAGTATGATATTCCACGAAATAAATTAATAAATTAGTAAATTCCACAAACTGATGATTAAATCGTACACTTAACACTGAATGCAAATGTCTGCGATAAATTTTATTCACTCAACTCATAAACTGCGTACTTTGGTTTGAGAATCGGACGGAGAATCTTAAATTGTGTGAATATAACTAGAAAGTAATATTTCTAAGTATTTATCGCGCACCTCTTTCAAACTCTTGCTACTAGTACAACACAATTAACAAATATTATAAATACAACGTGTTTTACTATTGTGAACTTCGTTAAGTTTTATTTAAATGTAACCATGCAAGGACGTCTTGCAACGGACTATGTGGTTTTACATAGTTCGATCAACTTCTAACCCCAGTAACAATAATAATGGTCATTAAAAAATCGAAACGTGAAGTCGTTTAGATATTTATTACGGCGTACTCGTTCTTTTCATCTTCTGTGCATACTATAATTCTGAAAGTTTTTCTACTTGCAATCATCGAGAGGTACCGTCCTTTACAGTCACGCACATTGTTATGTTCTCATTGAATAAATTATTTGTACATCTTCATATTTATCAGAACTGAGTGGAAGATAGTATTTCTCGAAGAGCCCTATCATATTGCATAATATATACCACACAATGTAGCGAAGATATATAAAACATTTAGATATTTTCTGAATAAACTGTCTGCACGTATGCCGACTACAAGTATACATAATAATTATATACCAACCCT